GCCCCAAAACTCATCAACAGCATGAGAATGAAGGCATGGCCTAACTCACATCCAGCTGTGTGTGTCCTCACCCCTGTGATGGTTAATTTCACATGCCAACTTGACCAAGCTAAGGGATGCTTATATAGCTGGTTAAGCATTACTTCTGGGGGTATCTGTGAGGGTGTTTTCAGAAGAGTGGAGCATTTGAATGGAAGACTTTATACAGTTGGATGTAATTGTAATTGTACTTCTGCCAATATGACACTACCAATTTATCCACTTTCTGTATGCCAGGCACTTGCTATCCATTATCTCATTTAATCTTCACTGCAACCCTGTAACATATGAGGGAACAACTTTCTACTCCTGCTCAGAGTGGCTCAAACTATTCTTCTTTCATTATTCCCATTTTAAAGATGAAACTAGAAAAATCAAGTAACTTTTCTGAAGTGACATTAACTCATGAATGGTGAAACTTGAATGTGGCCACAGAGCTTGGGACTACTTTTGAGAAGAAGGACGTGCTGCAGCCCCAGGCATCCCTCGCTCAGCTCAGTGAGCTAGAGGCAGTCCTCTGCCCTCCTTCAACTGTTCCTTCTGTCATCTTCCACAGCATCATGTAATTCCAGAAATGTTCTAATGATCTACTCAGTTCCGGCTGGCTCAGCCCTGGTATAAGGCTCCTGGGGCTGGCCTGGGTCCCACTCTTCTCTAGGGGCCTATGAGCAAGCCTGTGTGGGTCCCACTTAATGGAAGAGAAAAGAAGGAGCAGAGTCTGCTCAGGGAGCCAGGGAGAGTTGGTGGACTGGCTGTTGACCAAGGTACCTTCTCTCAGGTTGCTCTCTAGCACCTAAACTCTGGATCCTGTGCTCAGGGTGGCTTGGTGCTTACGCACAACTACAAGCCCTAGCGATAGCTTAACAAGGGTGGGGACACAGGTATAAAGCTCATGGACCAGACCACCTCCAAGGCCTGAGCCATCCCTCTCACTCAAACTGGGCCTTGGCTGTTGCCAGTCAAGGGTATGAAATTGACACTAGGGTCAGAGCTTAGAGCCTGGTGCCCCAGCATCATTGGCTAAGCTCAAGCACTGCTCAGACTTGAAGGAGCCAGGAGCGGTTTGTATCTGAGAAGGGCAGGGCCCTGTCCACGTAGAAGCATGTGTGCCTACTCCACCAACTTTTATGAGGCCCTGGACTGTCATTTGTTGGTGACCACCCAACCATCCCACCAGCAAACGGAGTGCTCTAAAGGGAGTTGTAGTTGACCTCTTAATGCAAAACAGCAAGACAAGGGGATGAGCTAAGAGGTAGGGCCTGTTTCTGCACATTTATCTCTGGTTATTAGACACTTTTAGAGGGAACATCTGTTTGTCCACTCCGGCTTCCACATTGCAGGCCCCATTTAAGGGCCAGTTTGGCCCCTTCTCTGACTGAATGGGGACTAAGTCATAAATTAGAGCTAGAAAGGGGACCTAGACTAAGAAATCAGAGGAGGCTTTTCTCATCTCACCAATAAAAGGCATTTGGGCTCCTCAACTGACCAGCCTTCAAGTAAAAAGCAAAGGAAGGAGAGGTTGGTCCAAATTCGCCTGGTGGCACCCACTCCCACGGGGCTCATTTATCACAAGGCTTATTCTGGGGACAGTGACACTGGTCTAGGCTGGACCTGGGAATCAAACCGAAGCACACAGCCTGATTGTGCTTCCAGAGTTCCAGGTACATGGGCTGGGCTCCATTATTTCATTTCTCTTTTGGTTTTAAATGTTGGATATTTGTTTTACAGGAGGAATATCTGTGTTTATAGTAAGACTTTCCATGACAATTCACAGTATGTTCTTAGGAGATGTATGTGTTGGCTTCCTCTCAGGACAATAGACCAACGAATTGTACAAGGGGAAGAATTGTTTACTTGTTAAATTTCTAAAAGTATTTATAAAATCAATACATTAATTGGTTAAAATTTCCCTTTGCCCCTATTCCTTTGGATATTGTTTCACTTGCCCATCTCCCCAGTTTAACAGCCTGACATATATTTCTGTCTAGACACACCACTGCAGCTTGAAACTTACCACAGTCCCTTTCCAGCTGTGCTGACGTATGGGTCCATGCCTTACACTAATAATCTGCCCCCAACACATTCCTCCTGTGCTTTTGATGTCCCACAGCTCTTCAAGTTATGCGGTTTCAAAATCTGCTTCACTCATTCTTTTTCCATGTTCTCCTGGTCTCTCTTGCTACCCCTCCAGTTCTTGGCTCCAGTTGTCTTACTGAGGCAGTTCCACTTCTAATAGCTTTTGCACCCACCCCTTCTGTTCAAAACGGTCAGCCCCCTGGCTCTGTTGGTTGTACTTCATGATACTTGTATCCAACACCTCCTCACCATTCCCAGCATCTATGACTTGGCTGAGGAGTACAGCATCTTTTACTTGGACCCTGGCATAGCCTCATATCTAGATTCGTCCATTAAAATTCATCCTGTATGAATTGCCACATCAGTTTTCCTAAGTCACAACTTGTATCACCCTCCTGTTCAAAAATTTTCACTGGATTCTCTTCTAAACAATAAAGAGAGTATCTTTGCTCCAGCTTTCAAGCCCTCTGAAATATTGTGAAACTCGCCTTTCCACTCCTGTCCCCCTTGACTTTTCCTGTGCTCTGGCTATTAGATGATCCAATGTCTCTCAAACACATCAACCTATCTTTCTTTTGCTTGTGTTTCTCTTCTCCTAGGACGCCCTTTCTCCTTGTTTCTTGCCAAAGTCTGCATATCTTCAAGAACCATTTCAACATTCTCCATGAAAACTTCTTGAATCTTATCCTTTCCTATTATAAGCCCTCACAATACTTGTTTATACCCACATTCCACCTTTGGTAGACAAACGGATGGACAGATATCCAGAAACTGCATCTCACTGATCTTTGCTTCCCCTACTGAGCCTTTGTGGTTGGCACACAGAAGCATTTCATGAAGGCTCATTGAATTGGATAGGTCTCCCTGCCTCCACATTCTTTCCTTGCTATAAACTCATTCAAGCAAGCATCTAATAATAAGGGTATTTTGCTTCTGTACAAGATTGAAGGTTACTAATCTCTTTCACATGTATTATTTCAACTGATTTTTATAAACAGCCTTTTGAGGCAGGCAGGATAAATACCATCCTCACACTGTAGGTAAGAAAACTGAGGAAATAAGTTGTCCAAAGCTACAAGTAATGAATGTAGCCATTAACTGAACCCAGGAAGTGTCCTGATACGCAGTTGAAGACCAAAGAAGAGATCAAGCAAAGTCCAAGCCCTCCCAAGTATCTCTTCTTCTTCCAATTTTATTGAGCATGGTAAAGATATTCTAAGCCAGCCAGGAGCATCTCATATAAGGGATATCAAGGAACTGGACAGATGGCCTTGTTATAATTACATGATAATTTTGAATTTGTGTCTATTTTTCTCTCTTCTCATGCCCTAAATACAGATAGTGTCTCATGAGCACTAAGTCACAACTTGTATCACCCTCCTGTTAAAAAAATTTCACTGGATTCTCTTCTAAACAATAAAGAGAGTATCACCTTTTGCTCCAGCTTTCAAGCCCTCTGAAATATTGTGAAACTCACCTTTCCACTCCTGTCTCCCCTTGACTTTTCCTGTGCTCCCAATGAGCACTTTTCCTGTGACTTTTCATGAGCACCCAAGAGACATTCTGCCTTCTTCTCCAAATTAAGCCATAATTCAGGCCTCCTTTCAGTTTGAACATTCAGTAGATCCTTGCTGTTCATAGCTCATCCAAGAAACTCCTGCAGAGCTATGCCTAGAACCACTCTTGTGATACCATGGGAATTGGGTCTAATTTTCCCCCTTCTCTCACCACTGGAAATGACCTCTCATCTACCCATCCATCCATCCACCCACCCATCCATCCATCCACCTACCCACCCATCCTTTATTCAACAGATTTTCCTTGAGTGCTGATTCACTACCAAGTATTCCACCTCCCTACAACTCTTTCTTGCTTCTAAGTTCAGACAGAAGAATTCTGCTAAGGTACAAATAGGTTAATGTGTACAAATAGTAATGCTTGTGCATTTTGACAGTGGGTTTGACCAAGGGAATGTGAAGCCTTTATGAAAGAATGACAGAGGAAGGCATTTTTGGATAAAAAGGGTCTTTCCCAACAGACCTTGTGTAGGACTTGGTGGGGAGGTAATCTCCAATTTCCTGTTCTCCAAAGGTCCCACCTTTCTTCTGTTTTTCAATGCTCTTGAAAGAAAGAGTTACAGCTAACTCCCCCAAGGTGTTAATGACACTTATTCTTGCAGGCTTCCCTCCCTAGAGCTCAGCATGGATGCTCTGACTGGACTTTGCCTATGTTTAAATTAATCAGAGTTTTAAGTGAGTGGATGTGGCAGGAGAAATCCTTGAGTTTTGATTACACTTGGGATTGTCGGATATTACATTTGGAGAAATAAGGAAATGAAAGAGCATACATAGTGTATGGTTGGTCCCAAAATGTTAGGTCCCCAGGCCTCCTCTTACATCCTCACGTCCTTTGCCTTGAATGGATCCTGGCTGAACTGCAGGGAGACTCCTGGGGTCCCTACTGTCATAAGGCTTTTGGGGCTAGGACTTCCTAGCCATCCCCTGTCCACTCCTGGCAGGCTGAATGAAATAGAGGGCCTGTAGGTTTATCTCAGAGTCTGTCAGTCTTGTCTGGCAAAGTCAGGCTGGTCACTGAGAAAGATTGTGTGGCACGTGAAGACAAATGAGATACTCCTCAGGATCGAATTATGTGAAAGCCTTTGTGAATATTTTTTTCTTCTCACTTGGCCAATAAAACCCCTGAGACCAGTTACGTATTTTTTTTAAGGAGGCAAAATATTCCCCTTCTCAAATTCTGCCTTTCCCATTTCATTCTATTACTCAAAACAACACAGTGTGTGTTCTTCTAGAGATTTGAAATGTCAGACATTTGAATGAATACTCTCATTCCACTGTCTTTCAATATGAATGAGCCACATTGAGTGGTATGATACACAATAAAGAATTTATTTATATGTTTTCCCTCCCCTCAAGTTTAGTAAAATAACTCAGATCCTGATTTTCTTTGACTTGCAAATAATGTTATTTTCCAGAGTTCAGAGACCTTCAGAGATCTGATGCTAACTTCAGTGCAGGTCCAGTTCATATGTGCTTCTGCTTGTAGTCAGCTGCCTGCTACGGGGCTAGCTCAGTGTATGGTTATACCAATATAAACAGTTTGAAGGTTTTCCCTACTATGTGAAAGTTTCATTGGTGCAGAAGAATAAATGAGAATTGCTATAAAAAAATTAGAAGGTGAGAGTAAATTCTCCTGGTGCAACCTTTATGTAGGGGCTCATGTCATTCCCAGCGGCTGATCGTAGCTCTTTCAGTAACTCGGTGATATATCTCAGAAACATGTAGTATTTTTGAATAGACAGGTCAATCAATCTTCTGGACTCAGCAATGAATTTTTCATAGTAATCAGAGAGTTGGTCTGAAAAGTCCTGTAATTTATATTTGAACTGCTGGTGGTAATCAGAAATCATGTTCTTCATTGCAACAGCCCAGCTTTTAATTATTTCCTGAACACTGGTAGAAAGCTCTTCAATCTTCTCTGCCCCTTTGCCACCTGCATTGGCAAGGATACTAAGGTATTCCTGGATATCTTTCTGCACAAATTGCTCAGCTTGACTTGAGAGTTGGGAATAAAATCCAGCAACACCTACAGTGTATTTTGAATTGAAGTCCTTAAGAACATCTACGAGGCTCTTAATGAGGTTGATGATCTTTTCTTTAAGCTCATAATATTTCACTGTCCAGCTGGCCACACTTCGATCAATATATTCTTTGTGAAGAATCTTTATGAACTCCTGGAGCTGCTGTAACTCTTGAGAGGCTTCTTGAAATTTGTTTTGAACATGTTCATTAAACTTACCAAAGTTAAGGTATAGGCTTTCTTTTAGGAATTCAAAAACAAATGGAATATAGTCATGAAAGATTGTGTTGATTTCATATTGGATATCATTAATGATGTAAGTAAGATTCTTCTCCTTTAAGTGTGTAATTCCTTCTTTTATACTTTCAAAAATGCCTTCTAAAATGTCCTGAAGATCTCTTAGCATCTCTGTGGTCTTGATAGACTGGAGGTCATTAAGGGCGTCTTGGATCTGTTGTGATAAGAATTTCAACAGTTCCCCATACTCCAAGATTACATCTATTAGTTTATGGCTGCTTGGATCAAAAGGAAATTCAATCTTTAGGATCCTGATGAATTCAGATTTCTCCATTAAGTCTTGCAAATAGGAAAACAGTACTTCCAGCCCACTGTGGATTTTTGAATGTACCTGGAACAGTAGCTTCCCCACTTCCTTCAAAGCCATAGAGCAGAGTTCATCTCTAGTGTACGTACCGGCAATTCCTGGGAGCTGCGATCTGGTGTACTTCATGTAATGAATGAACGAGTCCATCAGATGATTGACTATCACTTTGTACTCCTCAATAAGTCTTATTAAGCTGTCAAATACTTTATTTTGGAGTTTCTGGAAATTAACTTGGCCCTCCCGAACTAACAGTTCCTGGTAGAGGCTCTGGGCCTTGTCCTTCCACTGCTGGTAGGTTCCAGCTGTGTTTCTGGCTACCCTTTGGAGCGCCAAGTCCACCTCATCAATCCGCCTCACAGCCCCTTGATAGGCCTCCTCGGCGCTGTTCTGCAGACTTCTTCTCAGTTTTAAAGAAGCCTCTCTCAGATCAAGGCCTGTGTGCTCCTGGTGGCACTTGTTGACATAGTCATAAAGGGCCCCTGCGGCCTTGGGCACGTGGTCTTTAAGTGCGTTTAGCAATTCGGATGCTGCTGCTTCTTCCCAGTTAACTTTGATCTGAACTTTCTCATCAGGTTCCTCGTACCTCGACTCACTTTTGAACATGTTGAGTGTTTTATCTGGAGAGGACTAAAACCAGCCAAGAAAAAAAGGATGAAAAGAACATGTTTTCAATTATCCTGATTACACAATAAACTACACTAAAACTCTATTACCAGTTAAAGATGAGAGGATCTTTCATATTCTGAGGGGGATTTATCTGTCATATGTCAGCTCATGCCTTTTGTCTTACGGTTAAACAAGTTCCCTGTTGTTAATTCTTCTTTATCATGTGCCCCAGAAGGGAGAACATTATGCGTGGCATTTACATCGTAACATCTAACATGAAGGTCTTCCTAGGATTGAAGATTGGAAGGGAATGAGGAAGAGGGAGAGAAAAGGAAGAAAGAGACAGGAGAGGACTAATTCAGAGAAAGGGGAAGTAGCAAAAAAGAAAAAGGACCACAGCCCTTCCGGCAGAGATCTAGAATACCAATATCAGGAGCCATTCATTCCCTAAGCCTATGGAAAACTTCAGTAATAGAGAATCACACTGCTGCTCCTCTACTTATGACATTTTTGATTTGGTCCTGGCAGAGTCTGTAAAGTACATGAGAGGAAGTTGGCATATCTCATCCAACAATTTTATTGTGTGGAAGAATTTTGAAACCTCAAATTATTCCAGAAACCACTATCTGAAAAATGCACTCAACATAGGGCAGTTTGCCCATGAGTTGGGTGATAAGGCATGACCCTCATCTTTCTAAATTTGCTCCGAAGTAGTAAAAAATAATAATGGCAATAATATGTTATGTGTGCATCTAATAATTAAAGTCAATAAAAGACTCATTCTGTTCTGGTTCAACCTGCTCCCTGCTTGGTTTCCACTAGTTTGGGAAAGCCCCAAGAAAATACTTGGTATTAAATTAAATTTATCTGCCCAAATTCTCTACTTGCTCTTGGGGGTACAGAGCCCATTAAATGGGACTCACCTGAGGGCGGTAGTAGAAGTTCCATTTTAAGGTATTGTTATCATCTTTCAAGTCCATGGCCACAGTGCCAATGGCTGGGAAGGCTGCCGAGGAAGACAGGCTATCCCTGTCTGCTTGGTAGTGCAGGTGGATGTCAGTGAATGTTGGGCTGGTGATGTCAAAGTAAACGTTTTCTTCCAAGACCCTGAAAGTCGAAAAGCAAATGAACCATCACGAAATGGGTACATAGACAGTAAAAACCACAAAGATTTGGAAAGGGATGAAGTTTCAATAAAAGTTCCATACTGAAGTCCTTGATATTTGTTATCTTCTTTATACTCTGCACTGATGTCACGGTGTGCAAATGTTCCTTTAATCTTATAGACTAATACGTCATCTTCAACTTTGTGTGTTTCCACAACTGTATAGGAGAGATTTTATATTTCATCAGATTAATAACTGTAGGACATAGACATTTTCATCATGAAAACTGAGAGAATTGTATCTTAACTAAATGCCTCATGTGTTTGGAGCACGTAGTCCACATTTTTAAAAATAGTTAGAAGGAGCCCTAAAATCATTACAGAAAAATCTATTTTCTTTAACCCTATTTCTCTTAAATGACAGTAAGTTCTACAGGATGGTTTTTAGATGTGGGGTATATATGTATCTCTTTTTCTCTTTCCCTGTTTTTAGAATTTTGCTATAGAGCATAATTGTGCCTCCTATCTTATCAAACTACATAATTATTTATTCACATCTCTCAATGAAAACACACACAGCATCTAGGAGAGGAGTGGGGACATTTCCTTACCTTTCAGGTCATATTGTAGGAACTGAATGGTTGAGCTGCACATGGAATTCAGGAATGTTTCAACTTGATCTTCTTTGTTTTTCAAACCAGCACTCCAAGTGGCATTATACAGGGGAGAGGCCACCCTGAAATGTGTAGTCAGTGCTCCAAAGGAGGGAATGAAAATTCCAGCAGGTACAGAGAACTTAATGGAGGGAATCTCAATAGTCTGCTCAGGCACGGTGATGGTTGGCAACTCAAAGTCTGCAATCTTGCTGGCCACCTTGTTTAGATCCAAAGCAGTAGTGCCAACTGAAATTCGTTTTGGAAGGGTGAACTGGGACACAGTTAATTGAGATTTAGGCACAGTTATCTCAAAAAAAGGAATTGGGGAGTCCTCAGGTTCAGAATATTTTGTTAACACATCAACTTCAGGGAATTTCACTTTGGGTAGTGTTGGTATGTTGAGGTGTGTGTAATCAAGTGTGTAGGATGGAATCTGAAGATCTGTAAATGGAACGTGGAACGTAGGTGTGACAAGAACTGAATTTAGAATATTTAGTTTCAGTAAGGGAATAATGAATTTATCAGCTAATTCTTGCACAGGGAGAGTGTAAGTATAGCCATGGGGATTTTTGGTGTACACAAGGGTAGTGGAAGCATGAAGATACTGTTTTTTATCAATGCTGGTGGTTACATCCAGCTTTAGAAGGTCCCATAAGCTCTTGTCATAAACTGGTAGGACAATATCTTTGAGGAACCATAGGGATCCTTCTAAGGAACCTGCAATGTCAAGGCGTGCTTCTTTTTGGTCATTGGAAAGCTGTACATTGTTTTCGAGAGACGCAGAATGAACATGGACCTCACTCTTCCAGATGACTTGCTGGTTCTCAGTGTTAGCATTCAGGGATACCTCCTGGCCAAGGTAATTGATATCAAGGATGCCATGGGGCTGTTTTGCATGGACCTGAACAAGGGCTGATATTTTCCATGGGGAGAGTTCCAGGGTAACTTTGCCTGTATGTTCTTTGGATGTTAAAAAGAAGCCCTCTGGCTGTAAGTGGTTTTTCGTATTGTGTTCCCAGATGGCATAGATTCGTTGGAGAGTGGCTTCTCCAGCAAAATTTTCTTTTATTTCAAGGTTCCAGACACCATCAACTTTGGAAGCCCCTTGCAGCTTCACTGAAGACCGAGTACTCTTGGAATTCAAGTAAGTGCTGGCTTCACTGGCAACAGTTCCTGAATATTCCCGTGAAAGGACCAGACCCTTGATATCTCCTTTGGTAGATGACTCAATGGAAAAGTAAGAGGTGAGGCTTTCTAAGTTGAGTTTGTGGTCAACTGCTCCTGTAGCTGTGGAATACAGCTTGGGGGAATTAAAATCATACTTTAATTCAATGGATGAAGAGATAGTAGGCTTTGACTTGGTGTTTCCACTAAGTTCTTGCTTGAAATTCATTCTCAAAATTGGAATGTGGACTTTTGCGGTTGTTGTCACTGATGCTTCCATGTTTTTCTTTGTTAAGCTAATAGTACTGTCGTGATTGCCTTCCACAAATTTGTTACTCAGAGACAAAGCTGTGGCTAACTTCAACCCTCTTTTCCTCGTCAAACTTGAGGTGCCCTCTAATTTGTACTGCAGTGCATTGATGACAGAAGAGGAGGAAGAAAGGAAATGAGCAACAATATCTGATTGGTTATAAAGTCCAGCACTGGTAGTCAATGTGATGATACTTGATTTAAAGGAAAAATCATACGTGATATTGCCCATGGCTGGAATTAAAATATTGTTTGGGGTATTCAATACCTTGAAATAGTTCCCATAAAATTTATCCAAAGGGATTGGGATGGAATGCTTGCCTTTGTTTTTCTTATACTGAGCCTTTACGGTTAAATCAAATGATTGCTTTGTTGTTTTCAAGAATTCCTTCAAGCCTGTTTTCTCCCATAAAGAGAAATCTTTCACCTGGAGAGTTTTGAGCGTTGTATAAGGTAGAGTCATTTTTGGAATTGTTAAAGGAATGTTTAAGAAATCCAGGTTGGCCTCTCCATTTATTCCTATGTGGGCCTCCATGCCATTCTCACTGTTTCCAGCAGAGAAGTTTTGATTATATTTATACTGATTGAATCTGGCACTTGCTTGCCAACCTGCTTGCTGGGTACCAGGACTCAGAAACAGAGCAAAATTATTGAGGAAGTCTATCTTTCCTGTCAATTTTAATGGAAAACTAACTTTCAAATTCCCTTCATTGTTTGTGGAAGCAGTAATCTCAAATGGCTGTGCTGAAAAGAAGAGAGAATTTTTCAAAGTTCCAATAACTTTTCCATTTAAATGAGCATTATGGTTGCCAGTTATCTCTGCTTTCTTTTCTCCGAGCAGTGCTATTCCCTTAGCGGTTAAAACACTGTGGCCTATGTGCTGGGATTCAATTTGTGACTGGATTTCAAATTTAGTGACGTTGAGGAAGCCAGATTCATAAACCAAGTTTTGGTTTACTCTTAGGTGTTTGCTATTGATCTTATTAGACAGTCCAAAGGAAGTGATAGGTCCTTCCACAGAAAAGCTGATTTGAGATTCATGTGTGCCCTCATCTGAGGATTTGGGGGAGGCCCATTTCCATGACCCTGTTCCAGAAGAGGTCCATGTTACGTGTCCAGCTTCCAATAGGGTCTTGATTTCATTGCGCAGGTCAGCCTGACTAGAGAAGTCCAGTTTGGGGATGTTCAATTGGTGGGAGTACTTTGTGTTGCTGTCCAGGGTAAGCTGATTGTTTATCTTGATGAGCACACCATTTCTAAGTTTCAGTGTATTTTTTTCTGTGTGTATATCTGCCACTGTGGTTGATTTTACCTCAATAGCATTTCCAAAAAATAGCACTTCACTCTCATGTTCTGTTTTCAGGTAATTGCTAGAGAACTTCACAGACTCCTTCAAAACCAGTGGATCAATCATAGTGTCTGAAAGTTGTGCATTTGCTTGAATATCAAAATTTAGAACTTCTAATTTGGACTTCCCTTTGGCGGTGATGGAAGCCACAATCTCTGCCTTGTTCTCTGTAGTAACATTATAAATGTCAGCATTTGCATCTAATGTGAAAAGGGGAGATTGGATTTTCAAAATGCTGTACAGCTTCCCAAAAGTAGGTACTCCAATTGTGTGTGAGATGTGGGGAAGCTGGAATTCTGGTATGTGAAGGTCAGGAATTTGAGAATCTTTAAAATCAAGATTTGGGATTGTGAATTCTGGAATTGTGATTTCTGGTAAATAGAAGTCTGGCAGAGTGATACTAGCAAGAATGGTATCTGCCCCCTTCAGATCCTTCAGATGTACTTCTGGAACTGGCCACTGCAGCTCACTGTTTAGCATTTGGTCAATGATTCTGATGATCTTTGCCTTTATTTCTACCAAGTCAATTGTAAAGGAAGGAACATGGAAGGTATTGAGGACAGTAAATTCTGGCATGGAAAACCTGGATGGGATTTTTATATCTTGCAACTTTTTGAAGTTTATCTGAACTGATGGAATCTTCAAATCTGTCAGGGGGACCATGAAATCTGGGGTCTGATATGTAGCTTCCTGAAGAGCATGGAGGCTGACTTCAAAGGCAGGCATGGTTCCAAAGATGGTCTGGATTTCAGGAACAGTGAATCCTTGTTCTACCAATGCTTTCACATTTTCAGCCCAGTCTTGGAGAGAATACTGTTCTGCAAAGTCAGTTAGGTTCTTAGCAGCAAGACTCCACCAATCAGAAATGTAAGTGGCAAGTGTGCTATAAACCTGGCCTACTAGGTACAGGTATCGCTGAACTTCCTGCTGAATGTCCATTTGATAGATTCGGTCCCGTATATCTTCTAGGGTATCTTGAAATTTGGTTTTCATGTAATTCAGAGATGCTGAATTTAAAGCCTTCTGTAACCAACTGAAGAATAAGGTTATTTGGGTGCCTTTTAGGTTTTCCAGATGGACTGAGATCACAGCCTTGACGTCCTCTACAAATAGTTTTAGAGCTTTGGCTTTCTGTGGAAGTTCCAGAGCCTGAATTTCACCATTGACTCTCTGCGTTACCTCACGGATTTTGTTATTGGTTTCATCTACAAACTGGTGGTAATCAAATGCCCTTAATTTCTTTGCCAATAGGTCAAGGAATCTGTTTACTTCTTCAATGAATTTTTTAAATGACAATGCTTTAAGTTGCTTGACGGCATCATCAATAAACCCAAGCAATTCTTCAAAGTGACCTTTTATCTTAACTTGTTTTAGGGCATTGCTTAGCTTCTGAACAGTCTCCTTCAACTTATACTGGTGAGCCAGCTGTACTGATTTATCCATTAAAACCTGGATGTGTTGGTCTATTTCGTACATCTTAATTAACTTATGGGCCATGGCTCTAAATTCATTGATTATCTCAGTTACTTCAAACTCTTCTGTAAGAATTGTAACACAGTATTTGACATGCTCAATAATTTCCTCTATTCTTTGAAATGGAATGGTAGTTCTCAACTGATCTAAAAGTACTCTGACATCAATAGCTTCAACCTGTTGCCTTAACTTTTCAGCAAGGTATTGGATGTCTATATTCCGAATCTGTGTCTTGAGCTGTTGCAATTTTTCTTGTATCTGGATTCTGATTTGATACTTAGTATCTACATTTTGAATCCAAGATGCAGTACTACTTCTAATTTTATTAAAATCAATCTTTTCAATGAAATAATATAGATTATGGATTGTTTTTACTAAATTTACACGGATATGATAATGTTCATCAAGAATTTTTAATTTTTCAATGATTTGGTCAATAAGCTTAGCAATAGCTATTTTAAAATCATGTAAATCATAATTATCTTTAATATACTGATCAAATTGTATCACATATGTTTGTAGTTGAGATAATTTTTCATTAAGGTTGATTTTGGCATTGTCCAATGCAATTTGCAGATCATTTTCTGTAATTCTATAATTTTTTGTAAAAGCAGTTAGTTTCTCCTTGGCACTTGAAACTTGTGTCTCCCAGTTGAATGCGTTCAGATAACCATTAACCTGCTGTGGGAGTTTGTCCAAGGCTGCTCTGTATTTCCTCCCAAACTGATCAATATCGATGCGTTTCAATTGTCTCTGTATGGTTTCCAGTGCAGTTATGATCACCATTCGATTCTTCTCAAAATATTCTGGCAGGATTTTAAAGAATGGGAGGTAGATGGTGTGAACACCTTGGTTCTTATCATATTTTACAGAAGCAACAATAGTGAATTCTTGGGCCTGGTCAACACTATCCCTCATCTCTAAAACATCAATTACATTGATGGGCTCACTGAGTAAAACGGGCACTTTAACTGGGGAGTCTAGCATGGTGAGGTCGGCCAGGGCTATTCCGTGAAGCTCCACACCGGCTTTGTCTTTCGTATTGTAAACACTGAAGTCCTGGCTGTATTCATTTTTGTTCAGCTGGGTCTTGAGTTTCCAGGTGCCTGTTTGCTCGGCGGGAGTGAGCAGGACACTGGCTTTGTGATCAAGGACAGTACTAATGCTCCTCTTGGCCATGAAAAGGTGACCCGTGGATCCTTTGTAATCATGAGAGAAAGTAAGGGCCAGAGGTTCTGCTTTCAACAGGAATTTGCTATACAGTTGCCCAGTGTGCTCTCCCCAGAGAACCAGTTTCCCATTGCCATTTGTATTTACATCGATAGTCATTGTAAATGGGGCCATTACAGAGTGGAAAGCGTTGCTGAAGTGCACTGAGTCCGAACTGTAGCTTATACGGTTGTCAATGGCTGAAGCCAGTCCAGCAATGTTGGTGTTGAGCCGATGGCTAAACTCTGTACCCTGGACCTTAGCTACAGTGTCTGCTTTATAACTTGCTGATAAGTCAGCATAAGAAATGGTGTAGATGTGTTTTATTTCATTATTTTGGTAGACTCCTTTTATGTTCCCACCCACATTCAGCTTCAGGGGTTCTAGCCGTAATTTCCCACTATTGGTCAGATCCAAAGCGTTGAATTTCAGGCCATTGTTTAAAGTAGTGACAAGAGAATAGGGTTGTAGCTGTAAATTAAAATTTTGCTTATAAAACTTGTCAGAGCTGTAAATGTTGTCCAGTTTTGAAGAGAAGTCCAAAGAGAGCCCTGCCATGCTCAGGCTGGTTGTGTAGTCAAGTTTCATTTCAGCAAATGAGCCCATCATGTCATTTGAGAGCTTAAGTCCCTCCTGGTTGATTTTGAAGTTGAAGATATTTTTGCTGTCAACACCCAGAATCATGGCCTGATAAGCACTTCCCAGCGACACCTCTGTGAGGGCAGCTTTTCCATCTAGACTGAATTTTGCATTGTGTTCCCTGAAGCGGCCATTTGTTGTTAATTTCATAGATGCCCCGGAGAAGCCCAGTGCCGCATTCAGCTCATTCTCCAGCACCAGGGGACTATGCTTCAAGTTGGTAGTCGCACTGGTGTACATCCCATCAGGGGCAATCCTTAGTGTTGCCTTGTGAGCACCAGTGTTAACTTTGTCAGTGCCCAAGATGTCAGCATTTAATTCAAGACCATGGGAAGTTAGGGATCCAGAAAGCAGGGTGAAGAACCTCAGTGACTTGTAATCAGCCTGGTACTCAGAGCGCAGCAACGCATTCTGCTTAGAGAAAGTCAGATCCACCTTGTTAGATGTGGTGAAGTCCTCATACTGCCCATTGGTGTCAGATTTCAGAGTCAGCTCATAGTTCTCGTATTTCAGGGAAGCAGTATTTTTAATGATGCCACCTTGCAAATCTGAGGTGGAGGTAAAGGAGACGGTTCCATCTTCATATCTTCCTGTTATCTGGTTGGTGCCCTGCAGGTAGGAGGAGTTAAACCTCAAGTTGGACTCTCCATTTAGCTGGCCAGTGGTAGTATCCCTCTGATAAGAGAGGCCATATGCACCTTTAGCATAGAATGACGAGGCGCTGAACTGCCCATTAATCTCAACTTCCTTGACGTACAAATGCTGTTTCTTTTTTGAGTCCAAATATATTGAAGCAGACATCTGTGGTCCCCAGGCACTAGATACGTTGAATGTTAGCAAACCTCTTGAGGCTGGGTTGTTTCTGATTTTTTCTACATGACTGAATTTGATGTTTGAATCCAGAAATTTGTGGTGTAGGGACCCAACACATGATAACGTGAACACATTCTTGTGATCATACGTTGTTTCTCCAGATCCTGACATAAAAATGAAAACACATTGGTTAAATTCACTCATAAATTTCTAGATCAATTTCTATGTTGAATGTATTTTGATAATAAAGTTCCATTGATCTGGGTCAATTGTGCAAAAGTCTCTGTCTATAACACAATCATAGAATCTGATAGCAAAAGGCATTCTTCCAGGAAGCCTTGCCTGACCACTGCGGGGTTCATTTACCAGGTGTTTTCCCGCACCTTATATTTATACACAATACCCTACCAAACTACTTCTTATAGGGAATTATAATTGCCAGTTTATATATCTGCTTTCTCTGTTTCTGCCTTGTAGTATACTTGATACATATTATATGTTTAATAAATATTTCTATTAGTTGAATGAATGAATGAACAGTCTTCCAAGTGGCAAAGAAAATATTTTAGAAAGCCAAAATCTTTCCCTTCCTAGAGGAGGCTATCCCATCAGAGCCTGTGATGACTTAGTCCCTGTGTACCCTCTATCCGAGCAGGGCTCACCTTGAACACTGTAAGAGAGCAGGTCGACGACAGAGTCAGCCTTCATGTGGTACTGAGCCTGAAGACTCAAGTGGTTTGTGCTTGTGTTGCCACCAGTATAGGAGGCGGACCAGTTGTACAAATTGCTGTAGATATTTGTGGAGAGGTCTAGAACACCCAGGAGAGGCATCTCCAGTTTATATGACTTGGGAATAGTAAATGTGGGGACATGGAACTCTCGAGATGGCAGGTAGAATCCCACAGGCTTGAAGTTGAGGGCTGGTGTCCGAATAGTCTCTAACATCTTTAGATCTTTGGAAGATTTGCCCCCAAAAGGCAAAGGAATCTCAATTTTCATGCTATTCTTGTTCAAGGTGTATTTGACCCGTCCATCACTGAAATGAACAACAAAGACAATGTCCCCACGGTCAGACATCAAGAACTCTGCTTTCTGACTTTCTGAGCAATAGTCGTTGTACCCCATTTCTGCACTTACACGGTACCTTTCCTCCTATCACTGTCTATGCTAAGGACAGCTTTGTTTTTACCTCTACTTATCAAACATTCAAATCCACTCAACAAGCCCCTCCAACCAAAAGCTACTTCCTTATCAGTACTTCCTTATGACTATTGTGACATCTAAGTCATAGTTAATTTCTCTTGTTCTTACAGTGACATAGTTCCTTACACCTATCTCAAAGAGCATGTTCCAATTCTGCTTATATAACTACTACTTACTTGTGCATTTGTCAGTGTCCACAGGTTATTTTCCTGGGAGGCAGGGTTATACCTTATCCTGGTCTTTATCTGTTCTTTCACATAGGGGACATTTGATCTATATTTAGTAAATTGTTTGTATCTCGAAAGAACACAGGTGTGGGAGTCAGCAATCTTGGGTTACAGTTTTAGCTGCCACTTATTGGTGATACTGTATTAGTGAATTCACCTCTCTGAGTCTCAGTGATGTTATATGTGCAGTAAGGACAGTACCCTTCTGCTGACCGCATGGAGTCGGCCTTGGATATCAAATGAAGAAAACTACTTGGAAGCACTTTGCAAATCTTTTTGATACTATGCATGTATGATGGATTATTATAACACAAGAATAAAATAGGATGGCAGAGTTTAAATGCTGTAATTTGTTCACTGCATTATTCCAATAGGGAGTGGATGCTTCCTAGCCAGGATCCCACATTCAGTAGGAGGATGCTCGATAAGGCCCTGTCCAATTCCAAAGCTCTGCAGTCCTGTCTTTTCAGCACAGCACAGAGAGGACTGTTGGTCAGAAATTGTAGTAGTAAAGGAAGAGGTTTCTGGGTTCTCTAAAGCTGACATTTTTTTTTTGTTTATCTTCAATAGACTTTGGCCATAGGAGTGCTTAAAGGACTTCAGCCTTTCACACTTATTTGGTCTATTAAACTTTGCTGCTCAGCCATGACTATGGACACAGGCCACTTGTATCCTAATCCTGAAGATAATACAGAGAACCATCAATCTATAAAAGACTAGTCTTTTCTGCTCATGCTCTGATATTTTTTTTCATGAAATAAAGCATTACATGTATTTCTGTAAACAGAGGAGTAGACTAAACAATTTGGAATCTGACTTCCCCATAGGCATGAGGCTATATTGCTAAAGTGAAATCTTCTTTCAGAATGCTACCTTCATACAATGCCCAGTGGTTGTTCTGACTCTCTAGAGCTCAACAAAAAATCCCGTCATCAACAATTCCTCTAGCCACTCCTGAATTTTTCACAGCCATTGATGAATATAACCTGGTCCTGAACAGAGGGGAGTTCACTCTTATAATGGAGGAAAACTGAATGGCTTTCAAATTCAGGTTGTAGTGAATAAAGCCTCCTCCTGGAAAGCACCAGAATCCTCTCATTACTTTCTTAGGTTCATTTGGACTGGGCTGGCATTCATATACCTCATGTTCAATGCTGCAAAAATACCACAGTGCTTATGCTATACTTAGGCCTCTCACTAAAATGCTTACATTATTTCCCTTAAAAATGTAAATTAAAAAAATCCTAAATCACACTAAGTAAAATCTTCCACTTACTTTTCATGGTTCAAGAAATGTTTCTGATTTCTTTTTTTTTTTTTACCTTTTCAAGAAGAGTGTTTCTGGGATGTGGAAGTCTGGTAATCTCATTTTCTGGAGGTAGAACTCTTGCAGGCCACCGAGGTGATCTTGCAAATTCTGGGCATAAGGAAGACTCGTGGAAGCCTTCTGAAGCCATGTGTTTGTTGCCTACAAAATAATATAAGTTTTCAGAGCAATAGGCATGGGTAGGCCTCAAAGTACAAGTGACATTAGGTGATAATCCATATTTGATTGATTAATCATTAAGCAGAATGATGCACTGAAAGTTAAAAATAAATTGCAGAAAATTATGAATTTTGGTTACAAGTCATTGGTCTCTTCCTGTATTTTGTAAAAGGAATATATGACATAGTCAATTCCACCTGTGTCCTGATGCTTCCTTTGATATCTTAGGTACAGCAAACTCTTTTGCTTTGTAATGTTTATTTGGTATTTATCACATATAGCCTTGTGAAATGGGGTTAATTATCGTTGCATGAATGTTTCCATGGTAGGAATCATGCCTTACCCATCTTTGGACACCCTCTTTCACTGAACTCAGGGCTTCTCGTACATAATTAGCCCTTATAACCATGTATTGGTTGACTGACTGATTTGTACTTACAACTATTAATTTGGAACCCATGTGCCGAAAAGTCATGTCTGTTTGAGGAACTCTGTGATCCAAGAGACTGTCAGCATACATATATATGCTTTTAGGATAATCAGAGAGATCCACGGGGAAACTGGAAGCCGCTTTATTGGTATCCACGTTAGTGCCTGTGTTCCATTCAAATTCAATCTTCTGTTCATCTGAAAATGCACACGCGGCATAGCTGTCAGTGGTACCAGGTCAGCCCCTAACCCATGCTCTCAGGTACACAGTGCTCCCGGAAGCACCCCATGAGGAGAGGCACATACCGTAACGCCATGCCACCTTCTTGGAAACTGTCGAGCCATAAGCTGTAGCTGATGAGTCCATCTGGAGGAGGAGTTTTGTGGAAGACCACTGGGTAAGGATCTCACTTCTGGCTTCTGCTTGCAGACGGGGTATGGAAATAACACCTTTGATTTTGCCTTCTTCTTTCTTGTCACAGCTAGGGAAAAGAAAATCAGTTGACATGAATGACTTTTCCATTCCAAGGAAATATGCAGGGTGAAACAGTTAGAAGTTCCATTTCTGATGATAAAAATCAGACACATGAATGGCTCAGAGAAATGAACTCATTAACTCAGTTATTTCTAATGAGCTAACTCATTAGCTCATTCTAAAGCTAACTCAGCCTAAATACAGGACTTTCCAGGAAGGTACAGGGGGAAGAGAAGTGTTTCCAAAATGGTTCGAATCCTGCTCTACCATTCACAGGCTCTCTTGCCTTGGCCACTTTTTTTTTTTAACCCCACTGAGCTACCACTTCCTTACCTATAAAACAGAGAAACCCATACCTATCTTGCAGTTTATTATGAGAACCAAGATAATTTCTTTCAAGCACCCAGCGCAGTACCTGATGAATAGTAAGTGCCCAGTGAAGGAAGATTCAACTGGACATGTACAGAGGATCAAATGTTGAGGGCTCTATCTACCCCTTGGGCTGCAGAGTAGGAATGCCCTTGGTTTGATCAGCCTTGAACCTGAAGAGGAAGAAAGAAAACTACAAGGGCCTGTGGGTCAGGTCGGATCACACTGAACTGTCCTTACCTTATGCGGCCAGTGAGAGTGACCTCAGTGATTTTCTTGTTCTGAATGTCCAAGGTGAGCTTGTAAGACTTTTTTGCCTTAGCCGATTCATCACTAACTCTGAGGACTGTCCCAAGGTCAACATCAAAATCTGGAATTTGGATTTCACTGGTCAAAGTCATACTCTGCCGGTTATATCTGAAGATCATAGTAGCCTCAGTCTGCTTCCCACCTGGGGGAGTGTACAAGGAATCAAGACGTGTATTCAGAAGCAATGTTTAGGAAGGAAGGAGAGGGAAAAACAGAGAAACCCTAAGTACCAAATGTGCTCGAATGAGGATGCAGTTTAGGACTTACCTTTAATTTTTATACTCAGTGGTGCTCATACATTTGTTTGATCTGCAAATAATGTATTGATTGCCTATCATGTGCTAAGCACTGCTCTTGGTGCTGAGGAATCTCTGCACTCATGGAGCTTACACTCTAGTGGGGGGACTATACAGACAATAAACAAGTATATTTTTCATATCAGGTGGTAATAAATGTGATGAAGAAAAGCTAAACTGGATAAGACAATAAAGGAAGGGATAAAAGTGGTGCTAGTTCATGTGTGGTGGTCAGAGGTCTTCCTCTTAAGAGGTATATAGGCAGAGGCCTGATGTAGAGAGGCTCTAGGCCGTGCTGCATTCTTAGGGGACAGCATTCCAGACAGAGGGCATTGGAAATGCACAGACCCCAATGTGGGAAATGCTTGGCACATTCAGGGAACAGTAAGGGCTCAGGGTCCTTCTGTGTCAGGTAGACACAGCATCTCTATATGACCCTTCACCTAGGAGGCCCTTCCTGGTTCCTTGCTACCTCTGCCCTGGCTGCCCATCTCACCAGCTCTCCTTTCCTTGTCTCAAGACACCTAGGTTTCCTCCAGTTCACAGGTGTATCCATTTTATTATATCTTTCGTAAAACTGTTAAGCGATTTTTTTTTTTCAGATGTATCCCATGTAGGCATCTCCTTTCCTGTGGGTTTTCTTTTTCTAGTTCAATTTTGTGAAGTAGTATTTCTACATACAAAAACCTTCCAAAGTGAACATCTAAGTTTGCCCCATCCCCTAAAACCTGTTTCTCCACTAATCTTTTCCATCTCAGCAAATGGCAACTCTGTTGTTTAGTTGCTCAAGCCAAAAAATCTTAGAGTCATTTTGATTTCCTGTTTTCTCTTACACATAACACCCACTGTGTCAGCAAATCTTGTCAGCTTAACCTTCAAAATATGGCCAGAATCCAACTACTTCCCAGATATCCTCTGCCACCACTCTAACCTAAAGCACCACCACATCTGCCCTGGATTATTGTGACAGTCTGCATAATAGTTTCTCTGCCCTGGTCTTCCTAAAGTCTTTCCTCAACATAAACATAGAGAAATCATGAGAACTCTCCAGTGGCTGCTTATTTCACTGACAGTAAAAACCAACATCCTTACCATGGTCTACAAGACTACCCTTCCCCTTATTTTTCTGACCTCACCTTCTACCATTTTCTCCTTGGTCTCTCTGCTTCAGCCATACTGGCTTCCTTCCTTTTTCTCAAACATGGCAGCCATATGCCTGCCTCAGGGCCTTTGCACCTACCAGCCCCTCAGCCTGTAACACTCTTTCCATGTGGCTTATCTCCTTACCCCTTTCAGTCTCTTTTTTATGCTCCTTTCACCAGTAAGACTTTCCAAATAGCACTGGCTTCTCCCATTCTTCCTTCTCCTTCTCCCTGCCACTCCCAACATTCCCTAGATGCCTTTATGCTCTATTTTTCTCCCCAGCACCCATCTGATATTGAGAATATTTACTTGTTTGGTTGTCTGCGTAAACCCCGGAGGGAGATATCAGCTCCATCGTATACTGTTCTAGCCTCAGCTCAGAACAGAACTGACACTTTTCAGGCATTTAGTCAATAAACATGTTCCCCTTATGAGCCCTGGGCCTGAGACTGAGAGCAGAGATAGAGGCTACTTGCCTTCCGCCTGAGTTGAAAACTTCAGTTGGTCCACCAAGGCTCTGTTCTCCCTCTGGAGTTCATAGGTCACACTGGCAGAATACTGCTCTACTTCTCCTGTTGGCTTCAGTTCCAGTTCAAATCTAAAGATGTCACAGTGCATAAGTTAAAGCTTTCGGTGATGATAATGGCCTCAAAACAACTGAGCCTCAATGGCAACAAAAATATGGTCCTTATTTTAATACTGTCTCTTCTCCTTAACTAACAATGATCTTTATGATGCTTCTCAGTCCCTCTAAGAGCCCAAGGCAAGGGCAGATCCCAGGCTTCCCCAGGTTTTTAGATGATCCCGGCAGAAGCCAGCTGGTTGTTTCTACAAAGCTAAGAACAAGCAGTGGATGTTGTAGGGGGGTTACTGAAGACAAGGGAGCCCTTAAGCATGGTGAAGGCTTTGAACACATCCCGGGCTCCAGGAAAGGTCATGCCTATGTGTTTGCAGGCTAAGAAACATGGACACTGACTTAGGGGCAAATTGCAATGCATGCTGTGATCTCATCTAATGCATAAGGGAAGAAGAGAGGACACCATCCAGAAAGACATGCTTTCAAAGGAATGATTGTCAATGGCAATGGCTATAGTTCCCTTGAAGGAATGTGATAGAATCACCTTGATTGTTTATTTTCTGAGCTAAGACTCCCTTAGACATCATGACTTCTCACTGCACAAGTGCTCCTCCTCTGTCTTAAGCTCAAAATTTAGTTAGGATTATGGATACCCTGCAGGTGTGTTGGGCAGAGGACCACTGTTTTAGATAATCAGAGGATGATGCAAATCCCTAACATTGATGCATGGCCTACAACACACAGCATTTTTTCTTTTGCCCTGCTAGATGGCCAGGATGTAGAGGTGAGCAGATGCTGGGTGGGGCAGTGAGCACCTCTGACCTGGTGTCCCCAGTCAGTGGATCGTAGGAGCCTGAGTCGGTGGAACTGGCCTTGGAGTAAGCACCCGTAGTACAGTAGTTCAGGCCAGTAAAGAAAGGCTTGCAGGTTGACCAGGACTGCCGGTTCTCAGTTAGAGGTGAAATCATTTCGGTTTTTGTGGTAGAGACCAAATGAAATGTGTTACTGGTGGAGAAACAAAAAACCTGGGTTACCCTCAAGTCCTGAATTGAAACGAACATCCCTGATTCTCACATTGCACATGCCCCCTTATCCTGCTCTCTATCTCTCTCCTCTGTCTACCTCCACTTCAAATTATTGGATTTACTTAGAAATATATAATAGGAAGAACATCTGCAAGGCTAACAATCACAGAAACCCTTATGTGTCAGACATTGCACTAAGGTGTGTACATATGCAATCTATAATCCCCACAGCAGTAGGCCTTAGGCATCTCCTTTTTACAGAGGCTCAGAGATGGTAAGTAACAATCACTGGGACCTGAGCTCAGGTGTGCCCCTTCCTTCCTATGAAGGGAAAGGTAAGGATGAGAGGCCCTGTCTCTTTCCTCTGAAATCTCTTTCCACCAGCATTAAACACGCTGAAGTCTCCTCTCCCATTGTGGGCATGTGCATGCATGCATACACACAAACACACCCACTCACACACATACACCTTTTCTCTGCCCTTCTAGTCCCTTCTTGGCTCCCTCACAATCAGGAAATTTGTCTCTTTTGCAGTGTCCACTTCTTTCGCATGCTTCTACCTGAACTGCAGTCTGACTGCCGCCCCCACCATGCCTCTGGAGCTACATTCATCAGCATCTCCAGGCACTTTATTGCTCCTAACTCCACTGGTCATTTTAGGCTTTATCTTCCTTGATCTCCTGGAAGCATTCAGTAGAGTTGAATGCTTCTGTAGAACTCTGGCACAGCCTTCAGATATCAGCTTAGGTATCACTTTCTTCAGGAAGCTTTCCCTAACTGTCACAGGCTCCAAGATATGGAGTGTCATGGCTGGCTAACACTTCCTCTAACTTAGCCCTCACTTGATACTTACAGCTTGTTTCATTGTTTATGTCCTTCCTGTAAACCGTAAGCCCTAGAAGGTCAGAGATGTTATGTATCTCATTCAACATGCTGGGTACATACCAGACAATTAAATACTATTTTTTTAGCATTTTGAATCAACAAATTAATGTGCTCAAAATATGGAAACTAAGGTAAATCAATGTTTGATGATGTCTTCAAATATGGAGTGCTCAATATGAGGCTGCATCCCATAATCACAAGATTAGGTATTTGATGCTTTGTCTACTGACCTAGCTGCCATGAACCAGTATGTCCTCTGGTATTTTTCCTGGGGGAACCAAAAACGTTCATTTCCCAAGGATGATTTCTCTAGAGCTACTGTTTCTTCATCCTCAAAACCAACCAACCAATAAAACAACCACAATAAAAAAAACCACAACTTAATAAAAGCTAATTAATCAGTAGGCCTTAAGTCTCAATTTTCTAGTAAAATGTGGAGAGCTGAGGAAATGGTTCTTATTGAGTGAGTCTAGTCTAGGTTTAAAACAGGTAGTCCAGCACCTTCTTTCCCTCTGTCCTCCCAGATGCACTGGGGCCTGAACTATTTCCATCAGCTGCCTCGCCTGGCCAAGTCCTTCAGACAGTCTCAATTCTCTTCTCCAAACTGGCTGGCCAGAGCTGGCTGAATTACCTGCCACTGAAGAGCTTGACTGGCCTCTTTGGAGAAGGAACGATGAGCCTCAGCTGCCCAGCTTTCAGGGTAACTTGTGCCTCCAGGCCTGTCTCATGGAAGAACTTGGTGTTCATTTGGATTCCACTCCTAGCAAAGTCTGGAATGATGATGCCCATATTTGTCACAAATTCCACAGACACAGAGGGCTTTGTCACCAGTTCTGCCTGCATCTGTAAGTCAGAAAATGACCTATTCAGCTTTGTTAAATATTGTTAGATATTGTTAGATATCAGCTTTGTTAGATATTGTTAAATATCTCAGTACCCTGGCAGTCATATTCAACCACCCTTCCCCATCCTTGGGCAAACATCTCTGGATGGCTCACAGCTCAGGAAACACTGTGATTTGTTTGGAGGAAGAAAAGCCAAGTTCTCAGCTCCCCAGAGACACATGACACTGACACCCAGAAATAGGAAGTACCCAAGTTAACTTAAGCATAACAGGATAAAAAGATGACAGAATCCTCATTTACTGGGAGCACAGCTAAGTTCTCATGTTACTGTCTTGCCCAACTTGAGCTAGCGAGGTGACACGTCCTACTGGAACCCTGAAGTTTCTCATAAAAATGAATGAGGTGATTTCAATGATGATGTACTTTGTCTTGAATGAGGCAGGTCTTTCTAAATTGCACAAGAAACCCATCCTGGGGGAAAAGAACAACCTCAAGGAATCAAAAGGTAAACAGAGTCTTACATTGGCTACTTCCAGTTTCACTCCAGCCTTGATTCCAGGAGTGATGACCCCAGAGGAGGACACTTGGAGCTGCAATCCAAGTCCAGTGGGGAGTTCAAAGGCATTGTCCATGAAGATGTAGTGAAGAAACAAGTCATTCTCTGAACCTTTCCTTATGGCCTCTCCGATCTACAGATGCAACAGGAGAGAGTAATTAAAGATGAGCCCCATCGAGGTAGGCTCCCATGTATTGGACAATAATTATTCTTGATCCAGAAAGGAGGGGACTAGCATATTTTGATTAGCTGAACAGGTTGATCAGTAAAGATGAATGATTACTGGTTCTTAGCAAACTGGGATATAAGAAATTGCCCTAGATAGACATCATGTCACTTTCACATGGTGACTCAGAAGGCACTTAAGAATATTGCTGGGCCCTAGAGCTTTATGAACTTTAAGTATCATTGCATGGTATGAATTCTGTTTTTTAGGAGTCTAAATGTAAACAGGGGTTTACTTAAAATATAATATATTGTGGTAAAACCAATTCTTTGAAACCAATGAGCTATCGAGATCATATAGATATTAGTATGCACTGGTTTTTGTTTTTAATAACATTTCTAGAAAATAACTTGAGATCTGTTTTCTTAAAGTTGGTATTATTATTTATCAAGGCTTGGGGTGTATATTTGGATATTTTCTCCCTCAATAACAAATGAGTAATAATAAAAATTATAGCTTCTGTTTAGATAGTGGATTACAGTTTGCCAAATACATTCTTTCATAACCACTGCATCACGTCAACATTAAAAGGAGCCTGTAGCACAGGAAGAAGGAGATACACTTAACATTGTTTTTTCAGATGAACACATGAATGCTCTTAAAAGATACATCTAACATTATAAATAGCTTAATTTCTAAATGTTACCAATTCCTTGCAGTTAAGGAACATTCTTCACTGAAATTCAAGGCAAACTTACCTCTTTGAAGGAAATACAAGCACTTTCTCTGGTTTGTGTATCTGGATCTTTAGGGAGTCTGGGAGATCTAAAAAGAGTACAAGCTAATCTCACGGCCCTGTGATGGGGCCTGGCCCACTCACCATCTGGGGGATGCCCCGTAGAGTGTGAACACCATTTAGCAGCAGCCTTCCCAGGAGCTGGAGGTCATGGAGTTTGACAAAGCCGAGCTCCTCTCCCAAGATTTGGAGGTAGGCTCTGGCTTCTGGGAATTCTTTGGATTTCAAATCTTTGATCAGCTTCTCAACATTGAGCATAATTCCATTGACCATGTCCTGGGATTTTAACAACAAAATGTCTAATGAGCTGTCAGCACTGTCAGACACATTTAGATTCCTGATAGGGGACCTGTGTGTTACAGCTGTGGAGGGCTAGACATAAACACTCAAGGGCGTATATGGGGCAGGCACTGAAATGAGTCCCCAACCTTCTACTGAAAGATAGATAGTGCCTCTGAACTAAGATAAAATACTGAAGTCTTACCAGGAATAGTGGTGTTGCCATACTGTTCTTAACTTGAATAATTTAGGTATAGTAAAGGGGAATCTCGGTTTTCCAGGAGGCCAAGACCTCTGGGGCTCCCCCAAATTAGAAGATCATCTGCCCACCACTTCCTCACATGCTCATGCCCTTCTCCTATGACAGGGGATGAATATTAGGAGTTTCTTGATAAAATGTGGCTGCTGTATAAATTGGCCAAAAGCTTGAAAAACACCCAATCCTAGACAAGTTCTTATAGGTAAGAATTCCTATTCCTGGACTGATGTGTAGGTATTGAGAAAGACAAGAGTGATTGACAGACCCCAAACACATCAAAGACCCCCAACCTCCGAGTGGAGGTATACATAAATTAGAAGAAGGAGGTGGGGCCCTCTGTGAGCATCTAGGAATAAATTATCGCCTTGCTTCTCAAACTGAAATATACATACAAGTCACCTGGGGAATTTCATTAAAATGTAGATTCTGATTCAGCAGATCCCCCTGGGGCCTGAGAACCTACATTTCTAATAAGCTCTGATGTGATGTCAATGACTGGACCACACTTTGGGTGGGAAAAACGTGAAGAATAAGAAGTTCCAGGTTACACAATCTATTATCTCCTCCTTAAGTGGGGGCTTATGCTAGTTTCAAAATGGATTTTGCTCCCATTAGCTAGTGCACTGATATGAGTAAGAGCCAAAGAACACAGTTAATAATGATCAAAATATGAATTTAAAAAATTATATTAGTATCTGCTTATTGAGCAACTGCTACCAACCAGGCACTCTGCTTAGCATTTTACATATTTTATTTTGTTTAGTCTTTAAATGACCAGGTGAGGTATGGATTATTATTAGTATCTAGGGATGTAGAAACAGACAGACATAATATTAAGCAACTTGCCCAAACATGCAGTTGGAAGACAGTGAGGTTAGAATTCAAATCCATGCCCCAGAGTTCACAGTCTTAATCATTATGCTAGAGTGCCTCTAATGGGTCTGGTTTCTGGGCACCTTGAATCTCTAGGAGTCCCATAACTGCAGAGGATACTGGTATTTACCCTCACAGGACTGGTTAATAATATCCATAATTCTCACTTCAGCTAGATAGTTCCTTGATGACTTCTAGGTCTGGATAAGAATGTTTTTGTATTGAGACCCAAAGCCTTCCTTGAGAGGATACTTAACAAAAACATACCTGCTCACGTTTATCATCTTTGGTGTAGCCAAAGTGATCCACCAAGACCCTGGAGACATGATCAGGCACTTGCTCATCAACCCAGTAAAGAGCCTTGTTGACACTGTCTGGGAAAAATCCTTGCTTCCCAAAAAGAGCTTCCACTGTTGGGTTAAAGCCATTTCCTTCCAAACCAATCTGAGACAAAAAATGAGGCAAGAAGGTGCCATCAGGTTTCTTTGTTGTGTGTCAGCCTCCTATTTCCTCTTTATGTCCATTTAATAAAGCAAGCATTTGATGAATACTACGGGTTAGGAGCCAGCTTAGCACTCCGCAGCAGTTGTCTATTTGAATCTCACTAGAATCTTGAAAGGCAGAACTTATTTGCCTTTTTCCAGAAGAAGCAGCTAAGGTTCAGAGAAGGTAAGTAATTAAACAAAAAATTCAGAGTGAGGAGCGCATTTAGGATTTGAACCAGATCTGACTTCACAGCCCACGACGTTCCTTTTGGATTTGGGGCCTTAGGGCTTCTCTGAGACATTTGCGTTTCCATTAATGCTAAGGAGTCACGCTTCAGAAGACCCCTAGTGGGGATGAAGGAGGGCCAGGAAAGAGGAAAGAAGCAGCCCTCAAAGAGATGGTTCCTGGTTCCTCCCAGGCTGGCTCGTGGCTCCCTTGACTCCCTATTCATGGTATTGTACAGAACGGAGCAGAGAACATAAGACCTCTTCAGTCTCAGACATACCTCAAAGAGGTCCGCTGAAGCGAATCCAAAGACAGTGAGGGTTGTTTTCAGCATGCTTTCTTTAGGAAGGTAATTGTTGGGATCGAATATAAGATTGCCTTCGATTTTGGCTGAGACCGGGTCAGGCCAAGGCAGAGAAACAGATTTGGAAAGGTGATAGTTCCGGGAAAATTTTGTGAAGTCCATGAGAGTTGGAAGTTGAGTTTCTTTCAGAGCTGTTTCCACTAACTTTTTCAAGCTAGATGAAGAGAAGGAATATATTTTCAGCTGACACATCATATTACTTATCCATTGTCTCTCTTACCCCAAGTAAATATGGATTTCCAGGTGCTACCAAACTATTTGGATTTCATTTGCCCCAAGAGCTTGGTTCAGGTGTGCTGCACTTTCACACAAGTGTTTATTCCAGGAGAAAGAACACTCCAAAAAGGGCAGGCCGTGGCTTAATTAGAATTGAGGCTTGGAATTCCAGTCCTTTGTGTCAGATGAGGGAAAATTATTCTTACTTACTCTTGGACATACAGTTCTTCTGATTTTAAGATGTTGGCAATGTGAGAAGCTACGAAGTTCTTCACTTGCTCATTCTGTTCCCGTGGGAGAAGTTGGACAACTTTTTTAATATCTGACTGGGAAGGGTCCCTCATCAGCATGAGATAGGCTGCCAGTCGCTTATCCCCTGGAGAGGCATCACTGAGGAAAATCTCAAGGAGGACTTCCCGGACCTGTAGCCAAAATAGGAGACCGTCATCACTGTCCTTGGTTAAAACACAGAATCCGCCTGGCAAGCACTGGCATGGTCCGTTAGTGCTTTATTATGTGCAAGTCAAATGTCTTTCTAATAACTTTCAGTACCTTAAATGCTGGTACTGAGTCTCTCCCCAGTGTTCCCCAGAGCAACCACCAGCTCAGGGAAAGTTCTCAGAGGATACCTATCAAATGCAGGTTGAATTCAATTGCATTAAAATACACAAAGTATGGCTGAGTTATGACTTGATGGAGAGATGCTACTAAATGAAAACAAAGTTGTTTAAACATAAATTATCTCAGCGTGAGTGTAAAGGTGGGAAGGGATAGTGAGAATTTGAGTCTAATAAATAAAGTAGTTTCTAAAGCCATGGAGTCATTGTCCCTAAGGCGTCAGGTACCTAGGACCTGATGATGCTAGTTTGGAGAGGTTAGGAAAAATCAGGCATGTTTTCCCAAGATGAGAGTGATGGTCAATCTGGTAGGAGAACAGCATGTAGCATATCTTCAAGATCAAATATTTTTCTCCTGTCTACATACTACTAAGCAGTCAAGTCAATAGGCTTATTGAAATTGGCAATTAGAAAGCAGTAGAATAAAGTCAGTAGAATGGTGAGATTTAGAATCTCATTCAAAATCCTTGTTAATCTGAATAATGTTTTCACATGCAGACCCCCTCTGTGGCCCTTACCTCATCTTGAAGTTCCATTTTCCGCAGGGCCTGGATGGCAGCCTTCTGGATGACCAGTGAGGGCTCTGTACTTTTGATACATTTCAGGATTGAAGATGTGAGTCTTGGGGTTAGCTTCTCTATGGTACTGCCAATATTTCCAATGACCTACATGGAAAAGGAACAAGAGGGAATCAGGATGCAGAAGCAGTAAGGAGTTGCTAGGAAAAGGCTTCCAAAAGGATACACGTTAGACAAAAGACTGAACAGTACCCTCAGAATCAAGTACGTGTGATCTTCATTCCCAGTGCAGTCATCATGAAGCTGTTCCAACAGGTAATCAGCAATATCCAACAGGTCCTGGGTCTTAGTAGGGTGTGTCTTATGGTAGCTACAGAATAAGAGTCAGATTCAGCAAGCATGGCTTGGTTTATCTTGAAATACAAACGTGTGTTTGCTGATTTCTTATTTTAAGTCATTACTCTCAAAATGAACAGTAGAAAAACAAAAAAGCAAACATCAGAGTTTTAAAGTGGCCGGTGGGGTACAATCCTAATCCAGAGACATGGGGTCCTTCTCAGCAACCACCAGGAGAAGCAGTGTAAAACTCACTTGTTGATCACACGACTCAGAGCATAAAAAGTGGCCCGGCTCTGCTGCTCCTTTGCGGTGTTAAAGATCTCCTGCAGTCTCTGGGCCGAGGGCTCTGGGATCAGGGCCATCAGGTAGGTGACAACATCTATCAGAAGGGGGCTGGCTTTCTCGCTCTTCAGCCACTGGAGGATGTAAGTGTAACACTGGGGCTGTCCACATTGAATCAAGGCTTGTAAAGTGATGGGGCTGATAAGAAAAGGGCAGAGGAAGTTACACAGATCAAAATCAAGGCAGCTAAAATATCTGTGGAGCATTGCGTTCTCTCTGTCAAGAGTGCTCTTACTTCCTTTACTCATGATCCAAACCCCACCATCTTCCAAAATACAGCTCGGATCCTACGAACCAGGAAGCCTCCCCCAGGAGCATTTCCACTGGCCGCGGAGGAAGGCCTGAAGGACCCCTGGACTTATCACCAGACAAGGACTGTTTTCATTGTCCTTTGGACAGAACACGGAACATGCCAGGCAGACATTCGCGCGATCCCTTCTCTGACCTTTATAGCGCTTAGGGCCATTGCTTTGAAGTATAGAGAAGTCACAGTATTTTATTTTGTTGCATAGTTCTCTCTCCACTGGACTATAGGCTTCTAAAGGGCAAAATTTCTTTTTCTCTCAAACTTCCTGTGACACCCACAATAGAACTAGGAATTAGAAGATATCCATCAAAATATAGGAAAATTTTCCCTCCTATTTGAACACACAGGTACATATCTGCCTTGAATGCAGTGTGTGTGTGTGTGTCTATGTGCGGTTGCCCATGGGACTCTAAGCACCTTGGCTGATATTCTTCTATCCAGAAAACATTAACTGATCAACTAATTGACTAACTGAATTGATATTTCAATGTCCCTGAGATTCTCCAGCTGAGGTTTGGAAGTTCAGCCAATTATAATGGGTTATATGGAAGACAGAGCCTCGACCCTTAAAGAAATACCTGGACACCTCAATCAGCTTTGGCAGGAGCGTTGTGACTGCCTCGTGACTGAGGCCTCTTAGCTCAGTAACCAGTTTGTGGAAGAGGTTAGCTCTCTGGGCATTCTTCTCAGAGACACGCAGCATCTGCAGCTCTTGGAGGCTCTTCACAATGGCCTTGGCCTGCTTTGGAGGTGATGTGGACTTGGTACTCTCAAAGGCAAGACCCACCTCCTCGGTACCTGGCAGGAGAAAAGTGTCAGAGGGATTCTTGCTTACCCCCTTATCTCAGCCGCATCTTGGTCGGCTGGGACCTGGGAACTGGGGAGGTATCAGCAAAGGGGAAAAGAAAAGAAAAACTACCCTGTACTTGATTTCTATTGTGTATCTGGCTCTGTGCTCAGTGTTTCACTTCAATGTTCCTGCTGACTCATCATGCTATCCCTGTGGGTCAGTGTTGTTCCTCAATTAAACATAAGGGAATAAGACCCAGAGATGAGCAACTCACCTGGCCCAGGACTCTCTGGGTGTAAGAGGCAGAGCTGGAACTGAATCTAGGCTTTTTTGAATTTAGCGTCAGATTACCTCTTTGCCCAGGAGAACCAGGGAGGGGCTGATGCTGCTGACATGGCTACAGCTAAGGCTAGGCTCACTGATGCTCGCTATCATTTCTTCCAGTGGGATCTAGCAGCTTGTGGGCAGGAGAAGACCCTTTTGTGTCCCCTCTATCACCCTACTGCGACCTATGCTAGGGAGAGGGTTAAGTCAGCATGGAAATGTGGTATAATGGAAAGAATTCTGGCTTAGATTCTTCTTGGGAGCTTATTTTGCAGCACCTCTAATATTCTGAGACCTTGAAAACACCAAGCCTCTCTATGTGTCATTTTCCTCTCTGTAGAATGGGTATAAAAGCACACATCACTGCCATGTGACATAACAGGTTGCTGAGAGCAATGAGGTAATGCATAAAACTTAATGCATAAGATTTCAGTGGAAGACAAATGTTGGACCAGAGATCTCTAGGTTTCTTTCAGTTCTAAAGACTGATTCCTGACCCTGAAGGTTCTCTCCCACTTGCCCCAAGTCACCCAGGCCATGGGCCTTGTTACCGAGTGTTGGCAATTACCAGAGGTAGATTTAGGAGGCCAGGTCATGTTTATGAAAATCTAGCTAGCTCTGGAAAACTTCTCCCTTTCCTTTATCCCATTGCCACCTGATATTCTGAAATGAATCTGCTTCCTCACTAGAGCAGCTCATAGAACAGCAAAGCCCACTTGACTCATTTGCCAGCAATCATTCCATAGGGCTCAGCAAGGAGCAAAGCCATGGTACATGGTATATCTTGGGTAGATTTCCCAGCCCTGACTACCATGTGAGCATAAAGTCTTACCTTCATTAAAGAAGCGGCTGTTGATCTTAGGCGTGTCTTCAAGTTTCAAAGTCTGCGTGACCTGTGCCATCATACCGTAGTTATTCCTGGTAACAAAGAAAACCCATCATGTTATGAACAGCCAGCTCCCCAGAACATACCGTTCTTTGCATCTTGAATGTTTCCCCCATGTCCTCTTCTATCCAAATCCTGCCCACCTTTCAAAACATAGTTAAAGCCAGCTGTTCTTGACTCCCCTAATGAACAGCACCCACATCCTCCTGGTCATATAGCTGTCTTTCTGATGAAAGGACAGATGTACCTTCTACCTCCCACCTGTCTGGAGTGCCCAGAGGGTAGGAACTAACACTATGCCTCAAAATTCCTTTGAATTTCCCACAGCACAGTGGGCAATTACTCAATTAATATTGGTTGATTGATTTATTTTCAAAACAGATTTGGATATACAAGTCTCCAATCCAAATTGCAAATCCTCCATAAAGCCTTCCTAACCAGGGGAGCCTGCAATGATCCTTGGCTTTTCATGATCTACAGTCATTAAAGTCTGGGTCTCAGATAGCTGTTGCTGGTGTCATATTGTTTTGCATTCGTAAGATGTTCCTGCCAAATTACCTGTTAGATTTACAAGGGGAACAGGGATGGGCTCTGCTTTGTGCCTCTTCATAGCCCCCTCCCAAGCACAGCCTAGCTGGGACAGGGCACCTGAAAAGCATTCAGTTCATTATCAACCCCAGAAACAATGAATCAGGGATGCAGCAGGTGACCTACATGTAGGAAAAAGGCAAGAACAGGTGTTGCTCCTTGCAGATGGCTTCTGACACATGCTTCCTCTTGGGGTCCAGGGTATACTGACAGGACTGGTTGCTGCTAATCATAGTTGACAAGGTGCGGGTCTATGAATGAGATGGGGAGAAGCATTTGATCAGTCCCTGGGCCTTGAACCTGAATCTCCTGCCATTGGAATTTACCTTCAGGAAGTGGGGGAGGTGGAGGGCAAAGTTCTGTACCACCAGATAATTCAGTTAAAGAAAGAACTTGGCACTTGGTATTTAGACAAAGGGATGCAACAACTCCGCATCCCCAAAGCTGAGTCAAGCTCTAGACTCTACTCTTCCATCCCAGTGGACCACTCGTCAATATAAACGAACTACACATAACCTGGTATCCTATGCATCCCTGCACCACCACACACTACCACTTCACACACTACTGCTGGTATGTTTTCTTTGCCTAGACGCCTGTCCTTATCTCTCTCTTGTATTACACATCCTCTGTATTTGTCAGGGTCATGCTCTACACCTGCAACGAACCTCTGGGGCTAGCCTCATTGATGCTTGCCCATCATTTCCTCCCATCAGGTCCACTAGCAGCTTTGCCCAATGTGCTATGTGACTAGAGCCTCCTCCTTCTGGGTCAGTCCTGGGACTGCTTGTGGGCACTACTTGGCTTATCATTTCACTGGGTGTGCCAGATATTGGCCTTTATTGGCGTGCATAGACCCTTGTTTCAGCATTGGCCTGTAAGCACCCCAAGGGGAAGGCCATGGTTCATCTGCCACTGTCCCTCCCTCAGTACTGCCCAGAGCCAGTCTGAGCATATAGCAGGTGCTCAAAGAAGACACATAAGCCAGTGCCTAGGCGTCTCATTGTGGCCCTGTGGCCTTCAGGCTCCCTGATTTTGGTCCCAAGGACAATGACCAGGAGTATTGCCAGGGATGGCAGTGATTGCTCAAGTCCTTCCTGTTTCCTGAGATAAGCTGTGCTTCATGTCCCAGAAGATATTACAAGGCATTAGGAAAGCCCAGGTAATATGGTGCTGCATGACCTCTGCTGAGGTGACAGCAGGGAAGGCTAGTACTGAGGGGGTGGCCTAGGCAGAAGGCAGAGGGCCCAGAAGTTGCTCAGGGTCATACATGGGATAGAAAGACAGGATGTTGAAATGCTTTTGGTAATGTCACCCTTGGGAGTGAGGGAGAGGAGAGCAGAACACAGGTCTTGGGACATCCATGGGGAGCCAGATGCTTGGGGCTGGAGACACCCAGCCCTGGCATAGGAAAGAGCGGTAGGTGGCTTTGCCAATCTACATCAAGCCCTGGAGCCTTCACAGGGATGGACAGTCATTAGTCTCAACTGATGGCATAAGCTTTGGCGCCAGTGACAGAATGACAGCAAGAAGAACAGAGCTCTGGACGGGAACTCAGGACCCCGATCTCGCCCTGGGCCAATCAGTAACAGGCTCTGCGCCTTGGGCAGGCCTCTCTCGGTTGGGTCCTCAGTTTCTTGCTATGGTCCCTTGGAAGCAGAGGCTGGGCAGGTCTTCCCTGAGGTCCCTATGAGTTCTCACATTCCAGAGTTTTAATAGCAAAGAGGATGCTGCTGAGTGTGACCGGCAATGTTGGTGTGAAACTCACCATGCCTTTGATCAGAGCAAGTGGGCTCACTCCTGTGCTGATGGGCTTGAAGCCGTCACACACGCCTAGGTTTCTTTCGATGGATATTGCTGTTGCCACGTTTCCCTTCCTTGTTTTAACAGTGAAGTCACTGGAACAGTTTCCATACACAGTATCCTAGGGGAGCAGAAGATACAACAAGCGTATTCAAAGCAGGAAAACATCCTTATGTACTTTGGAAGGGGCTGGGAAGACAGCCTGGGAGAAAAAGCAGAAACAACATGGGTTTGGGAGGAATTTCTTCCTCCTAATCAGAATGTGGGCATTGCTGATACCTGGCCAGCTAGAGGTGGAGTGAAGATCCAGTTAAGGGTGGTTCTGGTTCTGAGGTACGCTGGCCAGGATGCTCAGGATCCAGCCAACTCTGATTTTATATTCTGTGTTCTCAGAACATTTTCTCTACTGCTCATTTATGGCATGTATTCTAATCCACCTTGTGTTATGTGTATCTCGGTTCTCCCCACTGAATCTTGAGAACCCCCCGAGGGAAGGTCTCTGCAGGATGCACCTCTGTGTTCTCCAAGTGCAGTATAGAACATAGAACACAGTAAGGGCTCAAAAATTTTCACCGGACTGGAGCAAATTGAATTTTCTCTCAGATTAAACCTGAAATTCTTAAAATAGGCTGGCAATACATTCAATTATTTCCCATAGCTAAAATACATTCAGGTTTTACTGTGTTATACCTTTTGGGAAAGAAGAAAATCAAACAAAAGAGTAGGGTGGCCAATACTCCCCAAAACTGCTTTAAAATGAGACCCAACCTGCTCAGCCTGCTTGGGATGACCTGCCAAGTGAGGCCAGAGGACAGGGGGAGCCTTGCCTCACACCAATCAAGGGCCTCCTGTGTTACTAACCATGTCACAGAGTCAGTGATCCACTGTGTTATATAGCATATACACTAGGACCCAGCTCAAATATGTGAAGATGATTCCAGGGGCCGCTATTAGTAGCTTTCTAAATTCTCACCAGAAACAATACTTGTTTAGTCTTTTGCGTCTCCAGGGGAACCAGGAGGGCAGAAACGATGCCCCTCTTGATGTTCAGGATGTGTTTAGGCTCTTCCTTCTCTGGGTAGAGTACAGCCTGCTTCCCTTCAGGAACGGCCAGCCTGAGATCATACCTGTTCCAGAGAGAGTACAGTCACAGACGTGTCCTCTCTCCATCATGAGCCTGCGGGACATAGGCCAGGTGGCTTCAAAGTCTACTTCTTTCTTGATTTTCTTTTTACATCTCTTCTTTATAAATATATCTACACATATACCAACATTTTAAAAAATATACAAATATGCATGTTTAGGGCATTCTTTTATTTCTTTTCCTTTTCTACTGGGTTCACCCATCCCCTCTGTTCTCCACCCATGTCAGTTTCGGCTGCCACACTGCCCAGAGAACAACCTACACTGACTGTTCTCTTTGTATCTCCACTCAGACAATTCCTTATAGATGTGAAGGGGTGCAGACAACCACATCTAAAGATTTTGTCATTGCGTGTTTTATCCAAAGGGCATTGTATTATGCGTACTTCTTTATCTTGGTATTCTCACTGAATTATAGTCCATGAGAATTCTTTTGAGTCATTTGGTATAGCTCTAACAGATTCTTTCTAAAAAGCTGCATAACATTCCATTTTATGGTTCTATATAATCTATTCAGACATTCTCATGTTTGATGGCATTCACTTTCTGTCCTGGATTGTTTTTTCCACATGAACAACACTGAAATAAACATCCTTATGCATATATCTTCACATATCACGGCTTTTCTTTTCATAGGCTAGAGTCTCAGAGTTTGCAATTGCTGTGTTGAGGCTCTAAGTATTTTTAATTATAATAGATATTGACTCTTGGCTCCCATTCCCACCAGCAATGCAGGAAAGTATACTTCCTCACAGGCCTGCCCACAACTATGGTTATATTTCTGTGTCTTGTGGGTGTTAGGAGATAAAGGTCTTGTTGTTCGATTCATTACATTCCTGACTGCTAGTGAATTTGAGCTTATTTTCATACATTTATTGGACAGTCACTCTTTCATATGGTCTCATGCCATGTCTGAAGCATGTCTATTTTGATCTTAGGGTCGTTCCTTTGAGGACTTCCCATTGGGAATTTGGAGCTATGCCTGCTCTAGTTAAGCCAGAAAGAGGCCAAGGAGACCAAGGATACCTCCCACAGCAATAAACCCTCTCGGAATGTTCTAGACACTGTAGGGCAGGCTTAGGAAGCCTTGAGGTGGTTAAGAGCAGGAGTCCCTTTTGTTAGGAGAGAGGTAAAGAACAAAGAGTAACTCCGACCCCTCCCATCATTGCACCTGGCTCCCTCAATGTAAGTTCCAGAATAAAATATAAAATGAGGTGCACTGATGAGAGACAGAAGCATCAAGGCCTACTCTGCAGAGAAAGGACTGGCTCCAGAGTCTAATGTTTAACAAAGCGAAAAGAGTAGGGCATTTCTGATGCTACTGAATCGACAAAGCTATGACTGCCTGTATTTGCACACACTTAGGATACTACAAACCAATTTGGAGATAAGGCAGAGGTGATGTTCAAAATATTTAACAACTGGCACACCAGAGACACTGATCAGTCGGAAGGAATGCCCGCTGGAAACCACAGGAGCGGTCAGTGTGCGCCATTAGAACAGCAACGCTGGGTAGGGCCTCGGTTCTCCCTGGACTCCCTGAGGCTCAGCTGGACTCCCTGGACTCCCTGAGGTCTGCTGAACAGACCCTGCATGGCCATGTATGGGCCCAGCAGCAACACCTGTAGGGACCTTCCCCGGACACCACCAGGTACCCAGCTTGTTTAATTTTTTAAACAAGAATTCACTTGTTTAAACAAACCATCTCAGCTTCATTGTCTCAAGGAGTTTTAAAGCATGAGATCTTTGAGAAACAATTCTAAATGATAATTAGGGCAACTCCATTAGGGGAGGGTAAATAATCCTTCCCTCTTTTGGACTGCTGTGAAAACCCAGCAATTCCCTGATGAATGGTGAATACAGAATACAAATACCTATACTCACAATTGTGCCTAATATGAACACACACATTCCTACCTCCATGGACACACGCACACATTCATGCACAACACATACACTCTCAGAGCTCAGAAATTGAAATACGCAGGCCCACGCCTCACTTGGCCATGAGGGCAGCAAACTCATCAGAGTTCTTGGTCTTCTCCAGCAGGACCCTGCCCGTAGGCTTGGAGCCATACACCTCTTTTAGGGTGCACTGGCTTGTCTTTAGGATGAAACTGCAGAGTTGGGGGACCTCCAGCTCGACCTGAGAAGAAAGGGTAAGGGCACATTAAGACTCTCTGTCAAGAGAGTGAGATCCCCCACCGCCCAAGTCTCACTCTCTAATCAGGACACCAAGGGGAATGGCTGTTGGGGAATATGACATCTGCTTCCCAAAATCACATGTGTGCTTTACATGTCTTACAGGTTCTCCATGAATAAACAGACTCAGTCCTATTTTGGGCCTTTTGCATGTTCTGGGTACCAAGTTTCTTAAGTTTGCCCAGATGCATGTAAAGGAAGACATTTTTTCATTGGCTCTGAAAGTACTCACTTCAGTTATAAAGAAGTAGGATGGGTTAGAAGAAATGCAGCCTAGGGTGAGAGTTAAGAGGAAGAACAGCAAGCAGGAGGAAGGCTATCATTGGTTTCAACAGCAAATGTCTCCTTAATGTCACCAAAAACCCCCACAAACCTAAAACTGTTTGTATCTGTTAGGGTCCGTTCAGAGCTTCACATAGGTGGCGTTTAAGCAGATCTCTAGCTGTTCTCTAGCACTGTTCAAAGAACCTCCTGCAGTGATGAAACTGTTCTGTATTTGTGCTGTCTGGTGTGAGAGCCACTAGCCATGGGCTGCTATTGGACACTTGAAATGTGGCTAGTGTGACTAAGAACATGAATTTTTAATTTTATTCAGTTTAAAGAGCCACATCTGGCTAATGGCTACTCTAGTTGACAACACAGACCATGGAGCCTGAGAAAGAGGAGGGCAACTTCTCAGTCTAACTTCTGCTCCCCACGCAAATCCCCATGATTTTCCTTAGACATGTTGCATATGAACAGAGACATGAGTACAACCAGTCTCAACCATAAGTAAAGTTTCATTTGAGAATAAACCACATGTTTTAAGTTTTCTTTTTTCCATTTGTTTTTAACAACAGATTGTGTTTGACTTAGATTATAAAACCTGCACTCCAGAACGGTTTCCTGAGATGGCCCACCTCCCCTGGCTCTCCCACTGCGCTTCTCCCATCATGTCACATCTACGGCCTTACATCCCGACATTCTAGATTGTATGTTCCAATTACATCCTGGATGCTGATGGAAAGATAGATCTGATTGGCAAAGTTTTCTGTGGCAGACAGCTTCTCAGAAGAGTGGCTGACTTTCATACTGAGAGTCAGTCCCAGGACTTCGAGATTACAACAGTCCTGGCGTGAGGCTAGGTTTGCTCAGCCATGGGTTCCAGGTGCCTCCAGGGGCTTCCCGTCTCCCCTCATACCTTGCAGTTGATCTTGGTGGCACTTTTTGCCTCAGAAGTCCCGGGGACACCACTGGAAATCACAGCCTCATAGTTATATATGTACTTCCTAAGGTGCCTGAATCGAGTTGCATCTTCTACAATGAGGAGAAATAAGTCAGCTACATACCAGACAGCTCTCCCAAGGATAGTCAGTTTTGGGCAGAGAGGGGCAGTGGCAAGGGTAATCAAAAATGCTAATTAAACTGAAATTATTTTTAACCGACTTTGCATTATATGTAATTTTCTTTTGTATATTTAACAGCTCTACTATGTTTCACTGAGGAAAACATTTAAATTATCTGACATTCCTTGAATACATCACCTGAAGTAGAAGGAGGGGAGTGTTAAGTAATGAATGCAGCCAGAAAGCCCATAGGAAAGACTCTGGAAAATTAAGAGTTGACAGCATGAAACAAACTATCTCTAATGCCTTTTCAGCTTGCAAATACCAGAATTGTGTGGCTCTTTTGGTTCTGCCAGATTCCTGACTACTTTTCATTAGGCATTACAGGTATCTGGCTGTCTTAAGAAACCCCCACCACGGAATTTTTGGAGGTTTCCGTTGTGCTTGAGAACAATCTCCTGAACAATTCGAGAAAAAAAAGTGTGTGTTATGAGCAGCGATGACAGATGCCCACTAGATGGCAGTGCTTCCCCATCAGAAACTAGCCTGGCGCTCTACGGACAATACTGGGTACCGCTGCGAGGCCCGCTCCTTTGACCTCTGTAGGTCAGGTAAACACGAAGGAGTGGGGGCTTCTGAATTTCTACCCAGAGGTTAAAGTCAGCATTTCCTCACCCCCGTGTGCTCTGAGTCAATGATCAGCCACTGATAAAAGGGATGTGATGTCCCTCTAAAGTGTCCATGGGTCAGCAGAGCGGCGGTCCCTTCCCCACCCTACCCCCAGGCCGAGCTGCTGGGACGGAACAGAACAGAACAGAAGGCAGGAAGAAGGGAGCTGGTGCCCTTCGAGGTGCGCAGAGGCTCAAGGACTGGCTGCCTGGGGCTGAAGGCCGTGCCCGCCAATCGGGCCTCAGAGCATTTTAGAGACCTGGGGCGCAGAGGATGCGCGGAGTGCCCTTCCCTGCCCAGTGGGGAAATGCCTTACTTGTGCAGATGGGGCTGACATTTTCCGGCACTTCTTCTGTAAGAAAAGGGGAAAGACAGCTGTGGGTACTCGCGGAGGGGGCCTGGGCCTCCCAGGGCCCGCAGTGCCTAGCGCTCTCCTCCTTCAGTGCCCACGCCTCCCTCCGCCCTCCGGCCCCGCCTCGGGCTGCCCTCCCTCGGCCCGGCCGCCCCGCGGAGGGACCCGGTCCCGCGGCACTCACGCGCCCCGGCGGCGGCGGCGGCGGCGGCGAGCAGCAGCAGCGCGGCCAGCAGCGCGGGCCTCGGCCGGCCCATGCCGACGGGCGGCGGGCAGCGGCTCCTCCCGGTGCGCGGCAGATGGGCCTCGCCTCGCGCGGGTCGCCGGCTGCTCAGGACTCCGCACCCGCAGGCAGCGTCCGGCTCCCGACGTGGGAATGCGCGGCCCGCGCCCGCGCCCTATTTATACGGGCCGCCCGCCGCCCAGGCCGCAGCGCCCGGAGAATTGCAAAAGGTCCAAAGGGCAGCGTCCTGGGCCTGTTTGCTTTCCACGGCGGCCTCCCCTCTGAGCCGCGACGAGGGGCGGGCCGGGGTCTCAGCCCCCACCCCGTCAGGGCCACCCTGGGCCTTTCCTCCGGCCCGGCCAGTCCCCGGGGTCCCGGGGAGAGGGGCCCTGAGCCAATGGGTTGAGCGCCTGGGAAACCCGCTCTGACCCAGGGGCGCCTTCAGGAGATGACCAGGCAGGCACAAACCCTGCTCTGACTCAGTAGCCAATTGGAGGAGCCAGTCCTCAACGGCTTCTTGGTTGACACATTTTCCACTCCCATTATTTTCTATTTTGGTGGACTTTGGGTTTGTATGGGTGCCCCTAATCCTGGTCAATACTTGTGGCTGTGGGTCACCTGCCCTGGATTCAGCCCACCTGGGAGGGAGCAGAAAGGGGATGGAGGGAGGCCTGCCAAGTGACCTGAATGGCCTCCTCCCAATCTCAGCTGGAGTTTAGGTGCCCAAATCTTCAAGAAACCCCAGTGAGGTGGAGCTTCTGGAGAAGACCATTTCCCCAGGGCCCACACCCTTGGGCAGGGTCTTGGTGGGGATTTGAAGAGAGGAGGCTTTGTCCTTAGGGAACCAGCTGGAGTTTCCTCCAGGGATGCAGAGGCCAGTGAGGAGCAGAGCGGTGGATGGACGCAGCATGTTCCTTCTGGACATCCCAGACCCTTCTCCAGGAACATTTCCTTTCCCTTCTAGGGACTGTCCATTTCCCACTATGGGGGCCGGGGACTTCTGCTGAGCAGCCCTTCCCACTTTCCATGTCCTATTGTAGGAAATCAGACACAGTATAGCTACTGCAGCTGTCCTGGTTTTACTGACCCGGATGCAATCATAAATGGTGATGGCTGGGGTGGCCCTGTGATGGGATAGACGAGCGTCTGAGGCTGGCCGTGTCCTCAAGGCACCTCCAGTCTACTCGGGGAGACACGGTGTGTACATGGGAAATTCCAGGGAACCGTGAAGGTAGACTGTAAGTGGTATTAACCGTGTTGGGATAACTACTGGTGAGGCATGAAGTGTGGCTGTGGACTACCCGGTACAGGAAGCACCTTTACAGGAGTCAGCATTGGTTGTTACAATTTATTTATAAGTTATATTGGATGTAAAACTACTTGTCAAGTCCTTTAAATCTCCTGATGGCAAGACTAATAGCTCTAGAAAGGTCATGTTCTGAAATAGTAATAGTGCACAACCACCCCCATTCCCTCAGAAGGGACTCACACTAGGGTGTTTGCCTTGTTTCCTGCCCTTGGGCCTCCATATTTCTCCCCATTCAGATACTGTCTTTAGCCAGGGACTCCTGGGCAGCCAGACTCCCAAGGATCCGTTGCTTTGCATATTTGGTATATTAAAATTGTTAAAAGTGGGTAGTATGGAGCTCTCAACCCAAGGCAAGCCATAGCTACACCACTGAATTGTGAAAAGTCTGGAAAAAGTAACTGTCACAAAATCCCATTTCTCTGAGCATTTTATTGTGACTATTTTATGTGGGCTGGCTTTCCCCAGCAAGAGCTGCTATTACTATTTCAGGAAATGGTCTCGCTCCTGCAGGCAGTGTCAGTAGAGAACATAATTTTTATGATTTGGTATCAAAAATGAATCCAATGATTTGGATGCAGGGAAAAACCATGGGGTATTCGGATGTGCCAGAGCTGCCTGTCCACATCCCTTAGGGAGAGTGCCCGAGGCTGGGAAGCCCTGGGGCTGGCTTCTCTGTTTTCCTGATTTCCTCTGGGAGTCACCCTGTGCTGGGCTTCATCCTCTGACAGGGTCTGGTGTATGAGTACCCAAGAGCAAATGTAGAATTATTGAGTTGACTTAAGTATACTCATAGAAACACTATAAGGGTTAATGTATATATTTTTCTTAAGTTACAAATCCACTTAGATCTTCTGTCAAAAGCTATTTGAAAATACAGCGTTATTTGTGACCACAGACCACCCTTAATCCCTTTCCTTAAACTAAAACATTTTATAGTTCCCTCTCCTAAGCAACTTCTAAATTTCATGTTTTCATAGAAACATCATATTAGGATTCAGGAAATCATATGGTGTAAGCTAATCATTGAACAGAGAGAACACTCGTCCAGAGAGGTCAGCTGATGAAAGGGAACCAGTGTGAGTAATAGACTCAACAAGACCCAGAATGGAGTCCTAGCTGGGGTTCTGGCGACATTTGTAATCTTGGCAAAGTGACTCCACCTTCCCCAGACTTCTGTTTAGTCATCCCCAAAATAGGATTAGAAATATCCAGCTTCCTCACAGGAATTTTTGTGAGAATTAAATGAAACAATCATGTAAATAATTACATTGATAGCATGATGTCTGACCGAAAAAATAAAAAATAAAAAAGACACTCAATAAATGGTAATTGTTATTTATTATGTGTGTTAGAGTAGCAGTATATTTGTAGTACCTATTGACCTAGCTAACCAGAAGGAACAGAAATTAAAGAACAAAAATAGGAAATCAGGGCTGAAGAGGGCACAGAAGCAAAACCAGGATTCCATGATGGCTATGCATAAATGTGACTGAGCATCCATTTGAATCTGTTGGTGCCTTATTATTTCTGTATTTGAAACCACTGTCCTTTCTGAGGCAAATGGAGGCCTTCCTCCAGCAAGCAGACCAGTGGCTCTAGCAGAGACATATTCTGGTATCATGAAAATTAATCTCAGCTAGTGGCTATGAGTTATCAACGCACGAATGCAAAGTCCTGTTGGGTGAACCATCAGTCTGAGTAATCACAGAGCCTTGGGTACCCGTGAGAAAGCCACCTGATTAGCGGAATTTCAAGGAATTAGATAATGCTGAGTATCCTAGTTACAGTCTTTAGAAGTGAAATTATGCATTCTGTTTATCTGCAGGTGACCAGAAGGGTCTTAGCCAAGTTCAGGGAACTATTAAAGACATCTCAGAATCCCAATATTCTGAGTTCAGTGCAGTTTACATACTGAAGTAAATGTTCAGTATGTAATTTGCTGAATACAAATGAATGGATCTATGCCATTCAGTTATACCCCAATGCTTCCATGATATTTATATAGAGTGGCCATGATGCTAAATTAATCTTTTTAGTGACATCAAAGAAGGCAATACAATTTGATACAAATTATTCCATGCTATGCTGTTCAAAAACCTCATCTGGTAAATAGGGACAAATATTGACAATGATTAATCACCTATCTCTTGTCTGTCTATGACTGCATTGTAATTGCAAATCATGCCCAAAAGCTGGAAAAGTAAACCTCAAGAATTGCAGATGAAACCATGCTCAGTGTGGTCTGCACATCTGTGCATGTGTGCGTGCACGCACACACACACACACACATACACACAGGAAATGTCAAGGAAAACATAATGCATTTAGGTAAATGATACAGCTGGAAGACAGTGGGGTGGGCCAGTGTCAACCAAATGAACACATTGCTGATGGATGATTAACCTCCTAGAGGAAGCGAAAAGAAACTTTCCTACTCTGTCATCCTGCTATCCAAGAGATAAGGTCAGAATGTTGAGCAGCAGTTTTTACCAGGGGAGAGAAGTCAGAAGTCAGCACTGCTCAATGTGCAGTGAGCTTCTATGTATAAGAAGTGAAACTTGCTCGACTGTGCAGATCTTATCCTTGCACCTTCCAGGCTCTGCTCCAGCTCCACCCACTTCAAGGAGCCTTTCCCTGGGTTCAGTCTGTTAGCCTCATGGCTTCTGACCCTGATCTTCTATCAGTCAGTTTCTTTTTAAGGCCACTGACCATGACAACTTCTGTTGTTGCCCTGAACTTATATTTCTCTGTGGTGATATGATTCAATTTTGAATGGGTTTACATATTACCTTGCTAACCAGAGAGAGAAACTTGGAGGGCGAGAACTGTGTGTAGTTTTCAGCTTTGTATCCCTCTTCCCTCTCTCCCTCAGCAACACCTCACAGTAGGCGAGGTAGGTAATACTTAAGAGTAGATACTGTGCTTATAATGTGAGATGGTCCTTGTGAGACAGGATTTTTTCATACATGCACTTCATTTTTGCTCTGGATGCTGCCTGAATATGTTTATATCTTAATTTAGAATGTATGGTGAATTTGAAACAGAGAGTTGGGATCTATGAACTAGAATTATGGGACAATCTCTAAGACTCTCTCAGTGTCAGTCCCTCATCTGTGTGATGAATGGACAAGACTAAGACTAGATCACTGATTTGGCCCATTGCAGCTCTGATTACTTTGATTTTATGATGACTTTGCAACTTAATAAAACAATATATAAATTATACTGGGCTTCAACCTCACGGCAGTTAGGGGCTATGGCTGAGGATTCAAAATCATGGAGCAAGATGAATTTTCTGGAAAGTCACCTACCCCTACAAAGACTTATACTCTCACCACCTAAGAAATAGAACCCTTTACCCATTTTAAACACATTTCCACATAAGGACAGGATATGCCTTCCTGGGGATATAGGACCTTCTTCCTCATGTCTAGCTTCATCCTTGCCTTGACCTCAGATAAGCTTCCTTAGATATGCCTTAGCTTTTCCTTTGAAAGGCCTTCTGCTGACATTTGTCCACTGCTCTTTACTGATTTCTTTTTTTATTTTTTAAGTTTTATTTATGTTTCCACTGGACTAAGGACCAGAATGCACTATCCTCAAAAGGCTGAGACCAATACTGATGGTGACCACATGGCTGGCTGACTGAATGAGCCATGTCATTCCCACACAGCCATTTATTATCTTCAAGTATTAGGGAGCCCCTAAGCACTCTGGCCTCTGAGAGCTTACAGATGAGGAAAAGGGCATGAATATACATCACAGCTAATCAGGACTGTACATAAAGTACCTGGTATGGGGTCTTCACGGTCAGACCACAGTGA